TATTTTATAGGCAGCTGAGCAGAACTTTTGGAAATGTAGTTTATGTTCACCACTATATCAGTAAACCATAAGTATTCTATCTTTAAAACAGTGAACAATTCCGCTTAAATTCTTTGTCACATGCAAACATTATGGTGTAATCTGGAGCAAACGAGCAACTTTGCTTCCAAGTAACATGCAATTTGTGACCTGGAATAATCACAGGTTAATGGAGAATCAACTAAAAAGTTGTTAGTTTTAAACCAAATGTACTTGTTATTTTATACTGTTATTTTAACTAAAAGGGTTCTTGATGTATTAACCAAATTAAACTTACTTTTATAAGAACAAGTCCATATTGTTACAGGCATAGAAAAGGCTAATACTAAAGGGGAAACCCGAATCAACCATGATAAGAAAGTCAAATGTTAATATCAATAATAATAAAAAAAACTTCCAAGTTAACATTTATATTATTGTTTTGTTATTAGGGATTAATTGAGTTCATATTGCTTCATTTAGTAAACATTACCATAATCTCAGCAATCCCACTGCTTTAAATGATTAAGGGTATTTTAGTAAACCTTTTAACAACTTTCTATGCTAAGCTATATTAATAAGAAGACCGTTGATGAGTTGTATGACTTGCCTGACCTTGTCCTTTGTTAAAATTATATTAATTTGTTAACTTTTCTTGATAAAATTTCAGCATGTGTGATTTAGACAAAAGCAAATAATAAGACTATAGATGAAACACACGTGACAAACAGAAAATTATTGTTAGCACCATTGTTGTTACTAGCTAATGGTGACCAGAGGCCACTGGCCTGGTGAAATAACACAGAATTACAGCTTATTTGTTTATAGCTGAAAAACATTTTTTTCTTCTATAAAGAAAGAGAAATTCTATCAGATCTTAAAGGGAGACACTCTAATAGGGTGAGGCGACCTCGTCGAAGAGCTAACCACTAGCAAACTTCGCTAACTAGCTAATTCCTTAAATGTTCTCACCAGACAGAAACAACAGCCGAGTCGCTAACAGCCCAAATGGCCTCCAAAAGCTCCGCGATCCGTCCAACAATAATACACCTATCAACAAGATGCCTGGGATATATATGGAAATAGCTCACGGCCTGGCCAAAGCTGCTGTTTACCTCCTCGCATCTTTAATTACCAACGAAGAAGACTTTTTCCCAGTTGGTTGTCTTCTGCCCTCTAGCGTCCGATAAGCAAACGGACACATACAAGTCTCCTTGAAGAATGAAGTTTTTTTTTTTTAAAGTTGTGGGTTAATACTGTTTTGTGCACCATTTCTGATGAGGGAGAGCTAAAATATAACAAGCTGCTAATGTAATAATGTATTGTTGACCTGAGTTTTTAACTTTTGGTTAAATTATTGTTTAATAAATTCTTTGTTTAAAAAATAAAATAAAATAAAATAAAATAATAATAATAATAATAATAATAATAATAATAATAATAATAATCTTCTTCCTCTGTTCTATTATGGCGGATCGCAAGCAACTTTAAGGTGCATACCGCCACCTACTGTACATGAGTGTGTAGCAACATTTCTTCACCACATAATAGTCATGCAGTGTGCTCGCATGTATCAAGGAAATAACTCATGCTTGGTATGAAGATGCCTTTACGTATTTCAGAACCAGCTGTTAGCTACGTTACAAGGCTTTAACTTTCTTTGGCGCAGTTTTGGTGAGTTAAAATATTCGTAAACACCCTCCTCTGCTGCTCATGAGTCAGTTAGATAGCTTTGTCTCCATATGGAAATGAGTCTGTCAAAAAGCCAGGAAGCAAATGCTCTGAGCTCTAGATAAACACTGGAGTGTCTCCGCTGTGTTTCAGGTTCTTAACATGGCAGCACAAGGTGCATTCAGGAGGATGGCAGCCTGTTTGGTCCTGGTGCTCCTCTGTCTGACTGAAGACCAGCAAGCCTCAAAGACAGTCAGGAGTTACTATGATACTCTGAATGTTGAGCCAACAGCCACGGACAGCCAGATTAAAAAGTCTTTTCGTAGCCTGGCAGTGAGGTACCACCCTGATAAGAACAAGAGCGCCCAAGCTGAAACCACCTTCAGGGAGATTGCAGAAGGTAAACAATGCTGCAACATACTGACATTTCATTTCATCATGTTTGATGGTTTTCTCCAATAAAGTAACTTATATGTAATCAAAACAGAATAGTTATGCATAATAATTTGATTTGTGGCACTAATCCCACTTCATATTTATTGTTTAAATGGATGTAAATAAATTATTTGTTTCTCTGACCTGATAATTCAGTCTGTCAATCATGTCTAGAGGAGAATGTTTAATGCAAACTCAAATCAGTTCGAAGAAGTAACATCTTTAACATCCTAAATGTGAGTCCGGCACAAAGAGCATGAAAATTATCAAACTATTAAAACGATCATAATAAGCTTGCTGCTTTTTTTTGTGTGTGTTTGTTTTGTTTTTTTAGGATAAATGACTGCAAGCATTGGTACATGTTGCCATTTCGTACCTACATGTCCCCTTAATTGCAAGAGATCAATGCACTGAAACTGTTGCATTGCAGTTTGTTCCTCTTTGCAGAAAGGGATTGTTATGGTTGTGTTAATACATAACACATAATAATAACGTAGCTGCATATAATGTGTCTTGATCCCTGGTCAATCAATTGTAAAGTGCCTTGAGATGACGTGTTCTGAATTGGTGCTATATAAATAAACTGAACTGAATTAAGCAAAAGCAGGTCGTGCTTGTGGCTATGAACTGATGCATGGCTGTAACAAAAAACTCAGCAAACAACTTTGCAACTGCCATGTTTAACAAGCAGAAAGACAAAAACTAAAGTAGAGTAACATATACCTTTAGTATGAACAGTGCGCTCAGTTAGGTGGGACAAAGGAAATCATGTAGACTGAAGAAAAGCTTAAAGTACACACGTGACTAAATAGTATTAAAAATAACAAAACAAACCCCCCCAAACTAAAGTCTTATCTCCTTTCTAATCATACCTTACAAAGGAGAAAAAAACCCCAACAACACTGAGGTTATTAATAACATGGCACATTAAAGCTAAAATGAGAAATGTACAAATTAATAAGAAACAGAACGATGGCAAAATTGTGAAATAAGGATGATTTGTAGAAAAATTGCGACCAAGCATGAGTGTAGGAAAAATGAAACATTTCAAGAACAGATAAAAAAAAGAAAAACAAAACTGTGCAAATATTCATTAATGCCTATGCAGTTAAAGTGGTTGATGTACAAAATACATTTTGAGCAGATAAAAAAGATTAAAAATTATGATAGAAAAAAACAGTTTTTGTTCAGATAAACATCCAGAAACAAGCAGCATGGTTGGACTCACTTATTGGACTTTTTGCAAGCCTGTGAAATGACAAAATGTACAGTAAGCAGATTATGCATGTTTATATTTACATAGTTTTTATTCTTTTTTTAGTATAGGCATTGAAAATCAAACATTTGTTTTGCCCAAAGTTTTACCAAAACCCTTGATTATAATATAAATTTGGATTTGTGCATTTTGACTTTCATATGGTTATGCATTTATTAATATTTTCCTCTGAATGGTTACAAATTGTTTTGTCACTGTTTGTGTTTAGTGAAACAAAAGATGCAGAAATTTTGAGATCAATATTTAGTCCATATGTTGCTCTTGGGGGCCCCCTGCTGGCTTAAAGGGGGCAAAGCAGCAGCTTACTTGGACTATGCCTTCAGATTATGCCTTTATATTATAATACTGCATAACCTTTCATATTACCAGAAGTTAAAACAACCTTTTTCCCTGTTTTGTTGTTGGCTAGCCTATGCTGTGCTCTCTGATAAGAAGAAAAGACGTCTCTATGACAACGTGGGCCATGAAGCTTTCCTAGAAAACCAGGCCTCCTTTGAGGCCGAGGATGAAGATGATGAGACCAGCTTCCACTTCAGTTTCTCAGACATCTTACAGGATTTCCATGACAGTCCGTTTTTGGATGAACCACGCTTCCACTGGAGCTTTCTCCAGGAAGTGGAAGAAGAGGATTTTCAGAACAAACATTACAGTTTTGAAGAGTCGACATTCAGCTTTTATTTTGATGATGAAAACGATGGGGAGCATTACTATTAATCTCTATTTTCCTTTATGTTGTGTTTTATTATGTCATCTTTCATTTATAATAAAGTTTTTCAAAGAAGATGTTTCCTGTATTCAGTGATTACATTTACTTCCCAGCTCTTTATTGTCTGTCCACCGTCACAAGTACAGAGCAATGAAAAGAACACTCTTTATTTAACTTATCCCCTTGGGGAGCAGTGGGCAGCCATTGTGCAGCACCTAGGGAGCAGTATGGGGTTAAGGGTCTTTGCTCAGGGATTCAGAGTGGCAGTAGTCTGTGGCAATGGGGCTTCCAAGTGCAATGCCCTAACCACTATGCCGCCACTCCCTATTTATGTATTCTTGATTAAGATGCCTCTGGATAAGCTGCTGATGTGAAAATGAACTTACTTTTTGCTTAAAAGGGTAGAAAGATAACTGGATGGCCCATTCTAATTCCAGGCAGAAATTCAATAGAGAATCTGTCGCATCACTTAAAGTGCTCAAGGTATTTTCCAAATGTTTAAAGATTTGCAAAACTGGTTAGGAACCCATCTTAAAATATTTGCAGCTATGAACTGCTGTTAAACATGTCTCTAACTAATAAACTATTGGCTTAAGCTGAATACAAAAGGGTGTTTTTGTAAAAAAAAAATAAAATAATGTAAAACACTACACCATGTATGTTAAAATACATTGAAGTTTGTGGTTGTCATTTGGTAACATTTAAAAGAGTTAAACAGGAATAACTAAGAGGAATAACATGTCAGTTGGTGGCACTTTTCCCTCTTATTCTAATAAAATGTCTTGCAAATTTGGTGGGCTGTTAAAGTGACGGGTAGATAAGAGAAGGGACCGTTAGGGCCGTTTTTCCTGTGTCGGCGTGCCAACAGTCCAGAGTTAAAGCCTAACACACCGTTTACTCATCTGTTTCCCTGTGACAGCATTTTTAGATTTGCCACAGTTTTACTTTTCTCGTGTCTCTTAGGCCCAGTTTGCACTTTGACCCAGAGGATATCCTGTTCCTTCTCAGCAGCAGAGGACAGAAAAAAGCAAGCAGCCAAAGGATCCGCTCAGTTTTTAGGCTTTCCTGTTGAAAGGAAGACAGAATCTTTTTACGAAAGCAGAAAAAAAGCTGGACTTTGAGGCATTAAATTAAAGGTTTTAAAATGATGGTAAGTGAACATGGGATGTTTTTATGGGAGGGCTAACTTGCGAGTGTCATGTGATAGTGTTTTGCTTCATCCAAACATCAGTTTCTTCATTGTAGGGTTATTTATTTCTATTAAAACAAAAGTTAAATGTAAGTATTAATCTTATTCTGAGTAAAATTCACTGCAAGTCCCATGAAATTTCCTTTTTTTTTTTTTTACATAGGAAGAGGTGACTGAGGCGCCTTCTCTTCTGAGCGTCTATGGAAATACAATCAAAGTTACAGAAGTGCTGCAGGAGGGGGAAACCCTTACCTTTATAATTGTTTCTCAAAAGGTAGGAAAATGCTAGTAGTTTTTGGACTGTATTGGCTGCATAATGTGTGTCAATCAGGTTTTTGTTTGTTGTTTGAACATAAACTTCACCATCTGATTGCTTTTATAAGTTGTGTTAAATGCACTAACTAAATGCTATGACCCACTCTCTGTTCAAGCTGTCTGGGACAGGAGAGTACCATGTACACCGGACGTACGATGACTTTGAATGGCTGCAGCAGCATCTCTACGCTCAGGAGGATGTGCCAGGGATACAAGGAGTCATAGTAGATACTTGCTTTTTTTCCTACTCATTTAAATTGCAAAGTTATACCTTCTGAGATGCTTTTTGTTGTTCAATCGAAAGTGAATATATAGATAAAGCTGTACAAATTGTTTAAATACCAGTTAGCCTGTAAAATATTTCTCTTGATAAGTTTAAATGAGCATGATTACAAATACTATGCACATAGCCTTAATGATTTGAACTACTATTGAGCCACTAATGTATTTCACAAAGTTTGCTTTCAAAACTGCAAAAAACATGTCATGAAGTTTTGTCAGTTTATAAAAGAAATTCAGAGTATATATTTTCCTGTTTGATATGTCTAACAGCAGCTAAATCTAGCTGTTTTTGGAAGAAATGGGAACAAAACAGATTAAATGTTTCTCTCTTTTTTTTAAGTTTCCTCCTCTTCCATTGAGGCCTCAGGTGACTGCATCTGCTAAAACGATGAAGCAGCTTGGTGAGTTTGCATTAACATCAGCTCAACGCAAAAACAGCAAGGTGATTTCATGAATTACCAGTTTTTTGAGTGGATTAAATGTTTTTTTTTTTTTTTTCACTGCAGGTTTCCTCTGTTTAGGAGAGTGGCAGCCGTACTGCAAAGCCCTGGAAACGTTCCTCAGGCAGGTTGCTGCTCACAGCATACTCAGCAAAAATAAAGCTGTGGAGATCTTCCTGACAAACACTGAAGTAGGTAGCTACAGCCGATTTAAATGCCAATAACCATTGCTGGTTAACAGAGTGTGATGGAAAAGCTTTATATGAGACAGACTCACGTTAAATGGTTAAACTTTCACCAAGGTTGTTTGACAATAGAGATTGCCATGTGACCCACATGGCAATCTCAGAATAAGTCAAGGTTTTATTGTGTCATCTTTTGCTTGTGTGGGTTCTTTGGAATCTTTATGCAACGCTGCCTCAGAGACATTCCGCTAAGGTCTGGACCGCCCCCTTCCTGCTCCACAACACAGAATTCCTCATCACTTGTACTGTAGCCCTTTACTAAGCTGAAATCAGTTATGGGGGAAATTATAACGCTGCATAGCAGATCTTGTATTTGTCTAATACATTTGAAGAAATGGATATTCAATTTAAATCGTAGTAAATCTAAGAAGGTCAAATTATAAAACTGAGTAATAAAATGGAAGAAAATGCACCTGGGAGTCTTCTTGAAAGAATAGACGGATGTACTATATCAGTATAATAACTCATCAGTTATTCTGTAAATACACCTTTAATCTAACAAGATCTAAAGAGTTCTCTGTGGCTCTCAGAGAGATGATTGTTTAAGTTAAGAGTCTCATAAGTGCTAATAAATACCTCAAACACAAACAATTGAAGGTAGGTGGTTTAATTGTATTAAAATAGTCTAGAACTGGAGGATACATAGAGCAACTCCAAAAGACCCTGGTCTGGCTGGTGGTGTGAGTTTAATCTGAGAATAAAAATCAAAAAGTCTTCAAAAGTCCTAAAATGTTGAGATTTAGATGCACAATTTCCATAGGAAGAAACCTTTGCTTTATAATAAAAACATCCCGACCAGATTGAGGTTTGCCAGAGACCCAGGCTCACCAACCTTTTTATAACCGAGGCAAGGGAAGGCCATTTTATTTGTATTGCACAGTTCAGTACATGGACAATTCAAAGTGCTTTACATGAATTTGTTAATAGAATCGAAGCAGAATAAAATCAAAAAACAAAACAAAAAACTAAGAAAATTATATGGAGCACAAAAATGCAGAAAAAAAGCAAGTAAAAAAAATGATGAAATGAAAACAGTTGGATCACAACCTTAAACTGATACCTTAGTCATCAGTTTAACTTCAACGGTCAAAGGAAGTTCTAAACAAGTGCGTTTTTAACTTTGACATCAAAGAACTCAGGCTTCTTGGAGTTTGGATTTTAAAGTCTATTCTCTGAGCTACAGGGAGCCAGTGGAAGGACTGCAAAACCAGGCTGATGTTCTCTACTTTCTTAGTTTTAGTGAGAACCCGGGATCAGGTACAGTTGTCTGATTGACTTTTTAGGCAAACCTATGAAGACACTGTTGCAGCAAACAATTCTACTAAAGATAAATACATGAATGAGTTTTTTTAGTTCCTGATTGGACATTAGTCCTTCAATCCTGGAGATGTTCTTCAGGTGATAAAAGGCTGAGGCTTGTTTCATTGGCACTGCGTGATAGGAAGGGCTACCGATACTCACCCATTTACTAGACAGCATTCACCCAAACTTCATACATAATATACAATTTTTTATTGTTTCTTTTCATTTCTATTTTTTATTTAAATGTGGTAATTTTGAAATATCTATAAGGATTGAATGCTCTGTATGATTAATGTGGTAAAATGCTCTATAAATTATCAAAAAAGAAGAACAACACAATAAAATGAAATATTGTGTTCAGAAGACAATAAGGGCACCCCATGTGGTCCTGGAGGGTGCCTTGGCACCCATGGGGACTACTTTGGTGACCCCTGCCTTAAACATATAGGGCTCCTGGAGTATTGTTCTTTGGACATATCCATTTACAATTGGATTATTTTCTCTCCTTATAATGTTCTTTAATATGAACCAAAGAGCATTTCAAAAGAAAAACAACCCTCATATAAACTATGGAGGTGTAAGTGTCTGCTCATCATACAGAGCTAGCACTACTAATTTTAAAGTTCATCAGAAAACCTGACACCGATTCAATCAGAAGCTGAACCTGCAGCATGGACATAACCCAGAACATGCAAAGAATTATCAGTATTTTAATGTAATCTCTGTTTGAGCTGATGTGATCTTGTTTCCAGCCCCCAGGTAGACAGAAAGCTAAGAGAAACATCTTCAACCGCCTGAGTCAAGCTGTGGAAGAAATGAGGAAAGAAGGACATAAGGTTTGCAACATGGACTTGTACCATCAGGATGTCTGCACAGGTGTTAAAAAGTGTAAAAGCTTTAAAAATCTATCCACAGGATGTAGATGAGTTTTTTCAGACAGAACGTGATCATAACCTTCTTCTAACTGCACACACCAGGGCTGCAGCAGAGGTGAGTCAGCTATTTCTGTAATTGGTCTTCTTTGTTTCTCACCGACTAACAGAAGATGTTTTTTTTTTTTTTTTTTTTTTTTTTTATCCTTTTCTGCAGAAATTCCTCGATGTGGTTTTAACCGAACAAAGTAAGAAACTCTCTGCTTTACCATCCTTTTTTTCAACCATAGAAACGTATTCATCTCAATTCAATGCACCCATCCATATACTTTCTAGATCAATTGAATCCTTTCAGGTTCACAGGTGGGCCTGGTGTCTGTCTACAGCAGTCAACTGGTTGGGCGCCCCTTGGCTGGTTATCAGCCTGCCACAAAGAAACACAGAGACAACCTTAATGACAATTCAGACTAACCATCTAATATCCTTGGTATTTATATTTAGATTATAAAGGTGAGGGCATGTGAGGAGAACCCACTTATGCATGGGGGGAACCAGTTGCAAGTTCTAGGAACTGTGCCACTTTTTGGTTCTCCATCAGTGCTATTAAAGGGAGATCAGGTCCAACAATCTTCCTGGCTCTTAATGCATATGTTTTCTGTATCTGGTTTATTTGAGTCTTCTCTTAAATGCGAACCAATTTAGTACTAGTCCATCCATTTTCTTACTACTAAACAAATAACATCTTTCTGCCATTAATCATGAACCTAACCATTTCTCTTTACTTTATCTATCTAGTTTTTAATTTTGAGATTGTAATCCCAAAGCTCCTCAAATCTCATGTATAATTAAATTAATTTTACTTTTTTTTTTCTGAACACATTTCAGACATCCTGTGTCAACTAATTGGGATTTTGATTCCCATATAGACAAGTCCAAACAATCATCTCCCAAGATCAAAATACCTTTAAGGGACTTTCTGATGATAGATGATAATTATGAGTCCCACTATTATTATTTTCTTCACTGGTTTTAATGTTTACTTTATTTGTCACCCAGCTGGAACAAAGCATATTTTTTTTGCTTTAGTACAGCCTGTCCAAGAAAAGACAAAACAGACATTTTAAATGGGGGATGTGGTGTCCAAGGTGCTGCCCTAACAGTTAGGAAAGAAAAGTATCACAATGGATGAGGGAAAAACCAAGAGTTTGTAAAAGTAAAACACTTTAAATCATTTTTTGTCGAAAAACATCCCTAACTACTGAAGAGTGGTCAGGTTTCTGTTGTGCTGAAAAGTCATGCATTAATGAAACATTGCTGCACAAATACAAAAACTCACAAAACAAACAAACAAAAAAAAAAATGAAATAAAAAACGGCATCCATTGTTTTTCTTTGCAGAAATAGCCGTGGCCTGTGGGCACTTTGCTGCTGCGCTGCACCTTTGTGTTGAAAATGGGGATGATCCTGAAAAACAGGCCTTTTCTTGGTGGGAAAATAAATTTTGGGTTCATTTGTCTCAATTTCTCATGTTTATAGTTTATATAAAAGCTGGATATAAGGTAAATAAAATGTAATAGATGTGGTGATATGAAAACAAAGAATTAGATTGTATTCATCCTTTATGTTTACATTTCTGCTCAGTAGTTCAGTGCCTCCTTTTATTTAGATTAGCTGCTTCCAAATGGTTACAGGATAGAGCCAAGGTCAGGCCAGCGTATCAGCTAGCAAAATGCTTGAATGCTTAATAAAATAATATCTTTAAAAGCCCATTTCTTGTCTCATTCCTATTAGAGATAAGAAAGTCATTGGCTTTGTAAAAGCCTGCCTTTAGCGATAGACAATCACATCCAACATCAAATGTACTCTTTATGAAGCCTATAATAACTGCTTATGTTTTCTCCTTTGTATTGTGAGGAACTGCTGCTTGCAGTATTGACTTATAACCAAATCTGGGTTTTGTGATTTTAAAATAAATCAGTCTTTGCTTTCAACAGTTCAGGTGCTTCCTAGATCATTTCCCTAACTCTAAAGAAGCTCATTCTCTCACAGAGGAGAAATGCTATCAACTTATATTAGAGACACAGATCATATGAAAGATTAATAGTTTAAGAGAAAGTCCAACAGTAGAATACAACTAAAACTCTAGAAAGGTATGACTATGTAGTTTAGATGCTTCAAAGATCCACAGCTGAGATGTAAATTTTTTTTTCAACCTAACATCTACTTATGAGTCACTGCCTAATCGGGCCTTTATTAGAAATTAAATTGCTAACAGAAAGCCACTAGGAGTCCATTTTAAATCTGATCATAAATCATGTAGAAATCTGGAACCTTTTGTTTCAAACATTAAACCGCTATGTGTGGTAAAAACCTAACATTGTGCACGTCACACACCCAGTCTGTGAATCATGGTGGTGACAGTATCATGCTGAGGGAATGCTTCAACAGCAGGGCTGGAGAAGCTGTTGGAGAGAAGGGCATGAGGAAATAAGTGTAGGATAGATCTGGAGGAAAACCCTATAAAAGGTCTAAGACTCCAGTGAACTTTCATATTCCAGACAGACATCCGGAAACATACAGCTTGAGCTACAGTTGATTAGCTCACTAATTTATTAGAACTGAAAAGTCAAAAGCTGCTAGACTAAGAAATTCACAGATGCTCTCCAGCCTCTTCCAGTATGCTCAAGCTAATCCACAAAGATAAAACCTTACAGTTGTATTCACAGTAAAATTATCTTCAAACTACTACCTATCATCCTCAATATAAATTAATCCCAAACCATTCCTATTTTGAGTTGTTAAATAATAAAAAAAAAAAACTCTTTATGCTTTCTCTGTACCTCAGCATTAGGCTTTATTCTGTGTTGGACTATCACATAATTTCCCAACAAAGTACATCGAACTTTGATTTTTTTTTAGTAGAAAATAAAAGGTTTGACTTCTTCAATACCTTTTCAAAGCATTTTAAAAGTTGCATCTAAAGCTTCAGTGCAATATTACATAACTGTTCACAATCATGATGATATGATTATGTGACATTTCTCTTTCAAACAATTTAACATGTCAATTAAAAACTCTGTGCTTGCAGGGCTTGTGTGAAATTGTCAGAAGCCTTTGATTCCATAAAGGTGAAATTTTGTCCTTTTTATAGTAGATATTGATTGCATTAGTGCGGTACTGACCCAAGTTCTTCTGTGTAAGTAGAAAAACATGATGAGCGTTGCTGTAAACGACATGAACACTCTTGGATTGGGTCTTGACCTTGACTCACGTTACCAGGAGTCAGAAAAGGTAAGTGTTTCAGTCCTATAGGGTCAATTGGTATGAATTATTTCTCTCTGATTCGTATCGCTTGTTTGACTAAACGATTCTGCTGAATAGGAAATGCTCTTCAGAAGAACCTGCAAACTGGTTGAGTTGGAAAATGCCAGAAGAAACGCAGAGAGGGCCAAACCTGTAAAGAAAAATGCTGTGAGTCACTTTATGTTTTTTTGTTTTTATCAAGTGATTATTGTTTATATGAGATGCACATCCTAAAAATTGGACAGCAGATGGCAGCAAAATTCTCCAGTAGTTTGGCGTTGGCACACCAAGCGATAAAATCCTCCCATAACTGATATATTGATGTTGATGCTGATTTTTTTCAGATGGAGGAGGTAAAGAAAGCTGCAGAGGGAGAGTTTGATCAGATCTGTAAAGTTGCAAAACAGGAGGTAAACTGTCATTAATGCAACCATGATATCACTTAATTCTCAACACTCATGACAAGCAGTGTTTGCATATTCCAACAGTCAAACGTTGTGTTTTATGTATTATCTTTTGCAGATTGTTCAACTCAAGCAGGAGCGTGTTGGACTGGTACAGAGAAGTTTGACTCAGTGGTGTGAGCAGCAGCTCCAGACAGCCAAAGAAGGGGCAGACATTTTCAATCAGCACCTACAAGCCTTTAAAGCTATGGCCTAAGGCATAGACCCTAAGGGACACCATGGCTTTCATGAGATATAAGCAATCCGTCTATTAGTTTCTCCTTATGTTGCCTTATGCGTTGTTAGACATACATTTTGTGCTGAACCTGAACCACTGGTTGCTAAAAATCATCTGTTTTCTCAACCAGACCTTTTCCCAAATTTCCACAATGACACTGTGTAAACAGACCCTGAAAATTATCATCAAGCTTCCAAATGTAATCACACTAACTTTTATAAAACTTGCCAGATTTAACACTGTTAATCTTTGATTGCACATGCGCTTTATAAAATGCTCCTGGAATGCGCTAAGATTGTATTCTACTGGTTTTTAGCTGCTATATCAGCTGAGGGTCAGGCATGAAATAAATTGTGATGAATTGATTCCTAAAGCAACTGCTCCTATATCATAAATCAGTTTATTTGTCCTGCAAGGACATGGCTGCTAGGACTCTCTGTTCTTGCCTCCTGAAACAACCCCACTGTTTTTTAATATCAGAAAATGCCTTTTTATGGTTTAAAGACATTTTAAAAATATCAGTCAAAATTAAGATGTACTTAGCTGATATTTCTGCACATAACCTTGTAAAGGAGATGTTGTCTGCTGTGGCTTGGACTTTCATGTCAAAGCAATGCTGTGTGCTTCATCTTATCTGCTCCATCCGGGGATGTCTGCTGAGTGAAAAACAGGTGAAGCAGCTAAGATTGAAGGGAATGAGTCAGCATGAGACTGATGAATGCTTTCATATGTGGAGACAGGAGAGGCTTCACAAAAGTCCAAGAGAAGGAAAGCAAGTTATTCCACCACAATAATGAGTGAAAGAGGTTGATACTGTCTGCAATTAACCTACAGATTGAATTACTATTTGTTTTATTCATTGCTTAAATGGTAATTGTTTATGAGCTTGTATTTTTTTTGTAAAACATAAAATAGTTTATTTGCAAGATTCACTATTAGCAGGCATGTTGTATTGTTAGTTTCTCATTTACCAGGAAGCTTTGCATAATTCATAGCTATACAAAAATACCTAGTTTTATTTAATGAATGCAACATGAACTGCATTAAGAAGCAAAACAATACAGAGGGATTTTGGGACGTTGCTACTATACTGCAAAGGCGTCCCTTCTAGTTTTGTAACTTTTGAAATCATAATGCTTGAAATAACTTATGACATTTACAATCTATGACAACTTAGTGTTTTTCAGGCTAAAATAATTTAAACTTAAAGGTATAGAGGACAACCTTTTATTTTCGAGTGGATCATCTAGATAAGTGGTCCACCTAATTGTCAATCATTCTGGTGATATGTTTACGTAAGGGTGTCCTATGTGCTTGTCCCGTTAGCTATCTTTTTCTGGGCATGCGCACTTTCAGGCATATATCTGTGGTGAGCTTCAGTTTCAGACAGTCATTGACGCTCACCTTTCTCAGTACGGTTCTCTGAACATGGTTGAGGGTCGTAAGAGAGAAAGTGTCTCTTAAATGTATGAGAAGAGAAGAAAAGCCTCAGAAGAGGCAGATATGCCCAGAATGCTTTGCGCTTAGAGCTCTCCTTGCAAATCATTATGGGATTTGCTGTCATGGTGGCCCGATGACGCCATAGGCTGTCGCTACCCAACAGCGGGGACTAATAACAAAGATGGCGCAGGCACCGCGAAGTGGAGGAGGAGTTACCTGACCAACGAGGAGCAAAAAGCAGTGATCATCTGTCCAAACGGTCAGTTAATTCAGTTTGTTATAAAGTCCACCAAAGAGTCCCAGCTCTATATAGTGATTGAGGGATTTAAGGGTTAGGGCGGACGTTCGGGCACAGCAAGCTTCTATGAGCTTTGCAAACAGTAACTTTTAAACAGAGCATGCACCATGAGAAATGGGCTCCTGAATGCTCTTGTGCGTTCCCTCTCGAGAGCAGGTACAGGGTTGTGCATTTTTTTTAAAAGTGGAGAGGGTGGGTCTTTTCACGAAAATCCTCCACTATACCTTTAATGACGTAAAGCCTTGAAAGATGAGTTGTTATGAATTAGTATGAATCACAAAAGTAATCATATGCATTTAGCGTCAACCAGAGGCATCAGTGTTAATATTTTATGTGGCAGACAACACAAAAGACCCAATCTTCTAAAGATTTGCCTTTACTTAAACTTATGCAGCTTGTTTGCACACTGCAAAACTGATACAAGTGGTGCAAAGCAATTAGCGTGTTCACTTAAATGGTTGCAAACTTGTTTTGCAGTTGTGCATTTATGAATATGCTGATCATATTTTAATTGCCTAACTGCTCAACTGTATGGGTGGAGGATACGCATATGTAAATACTTACCATGCAAAAATACTTCATAATAGATTTATGAACCTGAAAGAGACTGCAGATGCAGTTTTTGCATTTGTTTGGAGCATATTTGAACATTAAGTCCAAATTAAAGTGCAAAGGTTTCTGTCATCATGGGATCATGGAGCAGACTGGCAGATTTTCTCGGTTTTTCAATTGATATTTGATATTTTACATTTAAATCTATTATCTTAATTTATAGCAGATTAAGGCAACAGTCTGGAGCCAATGTAAACAGAGTAAGAATTGGAAGATATGAGAGAATTTGCTTGATTTAGTAAGAAATATGGCTGCTGTATTCTGTATATACTAAAGGCATGAAATCTACTACTGTTTTTATTCCATTTGTCAAAATGCTTACAATACTGGATAAATTGGGTTTCTTACCCCAATAATAGGTAAGAAACCCATTTTTTGTGTGGGAAATGAAATCTAGGGACACACAAAATATTGGAGGAATGCCATATTAAGTTTTTGATATGCCATATTAAAGTTGTTATGAATTAGTGTGAATAATATGCCATATTAAGTTTTTAGTAAAACTTTTTACAAACATACAAGTGCAAAAGTTGTTCATTTCTATAACCTTGTCTCTCACAGTCAGCCATCTTTGTCCATTTTGTTCTTTGATAGAATTAATTCTAGCAGCAGCTAGTGAAAATATTTTATTCACTTAATGTCAATTCAGCGCCAGGAATGAGGTGAGAGCAGCACTTTCACTTTTAAAGCTGGTAATTCAAGAAGAAATGTATAATGTCACTGGATGGAGACAGGAATAAAGAACAGCTGAACAGCTTCTTGGCTGCAACCACCGGACAAAATTTCTCTCATTGGTTCCATCTATGCCTCCACCAGACTCTTGATTCTCCTCCTTGAAGTTGGTGGACATCCTATTACTGTTCACTTGATGTTCCCATTAAACACAATAGAAAGCGAGGGTCCTTACACAGATGTTACAGGACATAAAAATACCTTCTGACTCAGTCTAAAATCTGAAATCACAGGATTGAAAAAGCTGGAATGTATGCCCTGCAGGTGACCATCTCCTTTTCAGAAAAAAGGTTTAAATGTTTCAGTCCCCTGCTGGTTTAATTAGGTTATGTGTAGCGTGATCCGCCCTAGACTGGTTGGGGAGCAGGATGCAGGAAAAAGTCCTGTCCTTCTCAAATAAAAAGAAATCAGAGTACAGAACAAGAAAGAAGAACAAAGAAACCTAAGGCACAGATCATGTATATAACTTTGAGAAGACTGGGAAGCAGCACAAGAAAGCACATTATTACCGGGATCTAGCCCCAAACATGCTCACTGGAACAAAGTGGAACAAAGTTTAGAAATCTTTTTTCTGGCAACAGTAGGCTTTGGAGGTCTTGAGAGAGATCCTTTCTTTTACCCATTATGAGATGTTTGTTATGGGGCACGACCTTTTATGGGTCATTAGTTTGGATTGAACCAGCTGCTATTATTTTACACTGACCAAGGCCAGGACGGCTTTCTGATCACTTATGGATTTCAACCCCATGTCTTGACATCCGTTCCTTTTTTTTCCACCTCCGTTTCTGCATATGTTATCTATTTTCTCTTTTTTCAAATTTTTTACAAAAAACTTTATTTCTGAACTTGTTTGTTTTGGTCAATTTCTATATGGATTACAGGAGATGTTACCATCACCTGATGAAGTGATGACCGGATTTTATGAAATGTTATTTAACATTTTTACTTTATAAAATGGAGACTTTTTCAATTCTTATTTTAGCTGCAATTATATGTTGTTTTATGTTATTTATACACACACCCACCCACCCACACACTCCCCTATGTGTGTGCAATACACCAATGCTACATGAGTTTAAGCCTGCGTCTCTGCATTGAGTATGTTTTCAAAACTGCCTCCATTAAAGTCAGCGCTTTGCTGCTCGGCTGTGTAATTATAGGAAAGTAATCAGGTTTTTTCCTCCTTCCTTATTTTCATCCTTCCTGCTTGTGTCTTATTGCTTGCAAGAGGCACATCAAGCACCAAAAGTTGCTGAAGTGGTAATTATTATTTAAGTGTTTTTTTTACTTTTGTCTCCCACCTCTCACAAGTGAGCAGTACACACTGAAAAAACAAGGCCTATTTCTGCAGGATTCATCATATTGCAGCATTGTTCTATGTTCTTTACAGTAATGCTGTGATGTTTTGCAAAGCCATTTAAGCAGATCAAATTGACAACAGGGGAGCTTCAGTTTTGCTGGTTTCATCCAACTGCTGCAGTAACTAGTGAAAATGATGGGTGCAGACTCATACAGTCATAAGAGCCATTCACAGCTATCAACAGCATAACCCAGATCAAGTAGTGAAGGGGTTTGTTCCTTTGTGTGTATAAATCCCATTAAAAACAGCTATTTAAAACTGATTTGCCAAAGTGAGAGCATATCATCCTGTGACTTAGACAACTTTACACAGGAAAAAGAGAAGCATGGAGCTCATCCGACAATGCTCAGTGACAACGCATTATGACATTTGATCTATCTGATGAATCACATTTAGACGACAAACTGTATGGATGCACCCAACATTCTGTGCAGGACCTCAGAAGCACAGAAGTATTGATAAGGTTTATTCTACAAAGGCTCCTATAGGCTGAAAACTTAGCTCAGAATGGAAAGGACATTTTTCTTAGACAGATCTCAATTGTTCTGAGAAGTTTAAATCCACTCATCATTTGCATGTTAAATGAGTTATTAAATTTAAACTTCTCAGTTTTTAATGAGTAAAAATATGAATTTATGTGGATTTATTCTATTCTATATGGGACCAACATTACACATCCATCCATCCATCCATGCATTGGATAAATGCTCCTTATTTAGTCACAGTCCACAAAACCACATACCTTTGTGAGACTAACAAGCTCCTTCCATAACTTTGGTTGGACGTTCAATAAAATTATAGATCAAGACTCTTAGGACCTGATCCTAAACATGTATCGTCTGTGTATATTTCTTCAGACAGGTAATCAGGCACAGGTCCTTCTAACCATAACAAATTAGGAGGGGCATATTGGAGGATTGTTTGGTGAAGAAGAAGAAGCTAAATATTTCTCACTCACTCACAAAGAACAAAGTTGAGATGAGAAATAAGTAAACTAGAATGTCTATAAAAAAAAACTAATCAGAAATATAAACTAATAAAACTCAAGAAAACAATCAAAAAAACCAGAATCAAACCCCCAAAAAACCCAGATCCTGAAAGAAACAGTCCATAATAAACTTTGAAGTAAACACATCTACTATATTAAACAACCCATGTATTTTAGGGTTTAGAAAGCCATTTTATGAGTGGTAAAGAAAATCTCTAAAAATTATTTCCAATTATAATTATTAATAATCTTCACAATAAAAAATTACCTTCAAATTCAACTCAAATCAAGAGCTAGAGGGTTGAAACAATCAGTACGATCATCTCAAACACACATCATGTATGACAGTACCAAATAAAAGAAAGTATAGTATGCATATATCAGAAGATGGGTTTACAACATTGACTTATTCTGGATTACAAAACATTTCAATACATTCAAAATCAAATATTGTTTTTCATTCATAATCATAGAACTTGTCCAGAGTAAAACACTTGT